GTAAACAAACTTAAATGTATATCTTTGTGCAGATATTTTGGGAGAATAAATTCCTAGAAGTGGAACTGGTTGATCACAGGGTATGCAGATTTTACATTTTGCTACACATAAGTAATTTGCTCCCTGGAATACTTATATCAGTTTATCAGTTTATATTTCCACCCCTTTTGCCAACAGGGGACAGACCTGAAAATATAAAACTAACTCTTTTTCTGTCATTGAAAACACAGTCATCATGATGAAGAAACTTTGAGAAAACTGACAGAAGTTAGCTATTTCTAGTGCCTGTGTGTTGTACTGTGTTGGTTCCTGGAACTTAAATATCACCTTCCTTCTGGACTCTGTGCTGCTCTCCCACCGCAGCATCGCCCAGTCCTATGGGAGATTGTCATGGTATTGGTTGGTTCTTTCCTGATGATTTTTAAATAAATATTTTGGGGAGGATGATATGTGATGTTTTCTTCTTAATGTGCAGGAATATTACTATATAGAAAGAAGAGTTGGCAACTATTTATTTTACCCCAGCTTCCAAATTGATTCCGTTTGTTGAAATTTGCCAGCTTTACAGTAAAATGCTGAGTAGATAGACATGGCAAGCAGGCGTGCTGCCAGTAAATTCATTTCTAGTTGGTAGTAGATTGGTTTCACTAAGGCCCATTGAAACCTGAAAGTGCCAGGGAGTTAGGAGGTGCTCTGTGGAAATGGAAATGGTCAGTTCTGATCAACTGGGTTTCTGTGATTTCCCTTTAAGAAAACTTTTTTTAATGGAATACTTAATTAAAATCTTAGAAAATCTGGATTATACTGGTATCTGTTGGAAAAGGCTGTTTTAGTTATGGACAACAGAATTCCTAAGAGGAATGGCTATGGAACACCTAAAAACCTAAAGACCTGGAGCACCAGACATAGGCATGCCTGAGTCTCCAGCCTAGCACACCTGTGTGTGCTCCTGAAGAGGCAGAGGGCCACTGAATGTAATCAGTATTTCCTTTAAGAAAACTTACTGCCTTAATCATACTAATTGAGTGATGAATGGATAGTGTATCTATATCTTGGTTTATTGAAGAGAAAACCTTTTTGACTACCTATGTGCCAAACTCTGTTGAGGAGATGTGGGACAGAAGTGAGTGCGTGAGAAAAATCCCTGATTTGAAAAGACATATGCACCCCTATGTTTATTGCTGCACCGTCTGCAATAGCCAAGATACGGAAGCAACTTAAGTGTCCATCAGTAGATGAATGGATAAAGAAGAGGTGGTACATATACACAGTGGAAATATTATTCAGCCATACAAAAAAGAAATCCTCCCATTTGCAACAGCATGGATGGATCTAGAGGGTATTATGCTCAGTGAAATAAGCCAGGCGGAGAAAGACAAATACCATATGATTTCACTTATTTGTGGAATATAAAAACAAAGCAAAACAAAAGGAACAAAACAGCAGTGGACTCTTGGACACTGAGAAGTGACTAGTAGTTACCAAGATGGAGGGGTTGAGGGTGAGGGGGAGAATGATGGGGATAAAAGGGTACAATAATTTGCAGTCACAATATAGGTTAGTCACAGGGATGGTAGTACAGCATGGAGAATACAGTCTACGATTCTGTAACATCTTTCTACGTTGATACATAATAACTGCACTAGAGGGGGTGAGTATTTGATAATGTGAATAACTATTGAACCACTGTGTTGTACATTTGAAACCAACATAAGCTTGTATATCAACAATACTTCAATTTAAAAAAAAGGTGGAGAAAAGTGGTTGCTTGAGATAAAAAATTTTACCTGAAAATCCACTTTTCATTTTTTTTTTTGATTGAAAAGCAGTGGTCATGTTGGACAAGCTTGAATACTTGGGGAGATTAACATAATTTGGATAATAATCTTTGTGAAGGTTTATGTATTTCATTGCATGGATGGTCTTCATTTAATCTAAATGTCATCCCATTTGGGATGCTGGTGCTCCCCTAGTACCTACCACAGCACCCAGCCTCAGACCTGCTGGTATCAGATCCTAGCTGGCTGCTTTGCAACCCTGGAGATAATTTGGATTCTAATTTTTAATCTCTCTGAGAACACTGGTCTGTTGGAACCAGATGGTATTAGCCATGGAAATGTCTTCAGAGTGAGTCCATAGAGGGAGGGGTGGGGGAGTGAAAGGATTAGGATTCCTCTCAGTTTGAGTAATCAGTGATAGGTACACAAGAATAGGCTCGTTTGCTTTCTGTACAAACAAAATTGCCTTTTCCTAACCCCCTCTGCCAAAGGGAATGATGATCTGCTCTAATGTATCAATTGATAGAATTGCCTTTTGTGCTAAGCTCCTCCCACTCCCAAGCCTAAGGGTTTGTTTACTGGGGAAAAAAGAAACGCATTATCTGGGCATTTTTCAATTTTTTTCTCTCATATATCAGTATCAGTGCAGGATGGCAAATTTGATTCTTTAAAAATTTTAAGGTAAAATAAGTAGTTTTTCTTATTTTAATTTCTATGTAATAAGTACAGTAAGGTTTTTTTATTTATAAGAATAAATTTTTTTTACTTTGAGTTCTTGTATTTTAGACATTTCCTATTAAAAAACATATAGATGGGCCTTCTTGTTTTTAATCCATTTTGACAATCTTTCTATATCTATTGTGATTACTCTTCTGTATTCTTCTATATTCATTACCGTAATCATAGTTTGTGTTTTTGTCCTGCCTTTTCTAAATTTCCCCTTTTATCTCCTTTACCTTCTTTTAGATTGACTTTTTCCTCTACTATTTTGGAAGTTATATATTCTAATTATTCCTATAGTGGTTAACCCAGAAACTTTAACATGTACATTGAACTCAGTAAAGTAAAAAATGAATCACCAGTTTCACTCTGCCGGGGAATAAAACATTTAGAATAATTTCATCATGTTAAAGTCTTCTGGATTTACATGCTTATGTTGCCCAGTGCTTTAACTCTGTGTGACTTGTTTAACTTTCACAGATTATGCTATATTATGGTTCCATATGTGTTCAGGCCAGTATGTGTTCAGGTTTACACAGTTCTCTTGCATTTTAGGTCTTCCTTCCAGGATTATTTTCCTTCTTTCTTAAGTTTTTACTTTAAAAACTCTTTTAGTGCTGGTCAATTGTAATAATCTGTCCAATTTTTTTTGTTTTTAAAAATGTATTTTTGCCGTTTAACTCAACAGACCATTGTTTTTAAAGGTATTAGTCTACTGACTACAGGCTTTCATTACTGCTATTTAGAAGATGGCTGTTACTCTTATTGTTCTTTTGTAGGTCATCTCTTCTGTCTGCAGACTCTCAAGTCTGTCTTTTTCTATAGTAAGATCACTGTGTATTTTAAAGTGTTTTTCTGTCATTTTCTTTTTCTTTTTTTTAAAATTTACCCTGCTTGTGATATTGGGCTTCCTGAACCTGAAAAATCTTCAAATCTGAAAGAGCCTTTATGCCTTCGAGTATCACATCTCTTCTTCACTCTCTCATCGTCTCCCTCAGGAACTCTAACCTGGCACCTTGTAAGACTTCCTCACTCTGAACTTCTTTTTCATATGAACCACCTGTTTTTCTTTTTAACACTTTGTGCTGCATTCTGGGTAATTCTTCCCATCTGTCTTCCAGTTCATCATTGCCTTCAACTTGTGGTATGTGGTCTGATGCATTGCATATCTTATTTCAATTACATTTTTTCATTTCTAAAATTTTTGCTGTTTTCAGATTTGCTTGGTTATTTTGGATGTTCTTTCATTGTACTTTCAGTTTCCCCCTTTAATTTCTTATGATACTCATACGATATTAAACATTCTCTTTTGGGCCTGTGACCCATATTGCCAGTATTTATAGTCTTTGAGTTAGCAGTTTTTTAGTTTCTTTTTACTCACTGATGGTGACTTGTAAATCTTGTACTCGAGCTTCTCAGATGCTGACCTGAGGGAATCTCTGATGCCTGTATTTAGTGTGTTCTTTGGAGGGCATTTGCATTTGCCTCTCTGAACCTGCACAGTGCTACCAATGCTGAACCACTTTGGGTGTGAGTCTTTCTGTTGTTGGCCCATCTGCAATAGGAATTCAATTCCAAACCTGGGCAAGTATGGGCCTTTTGATAGGAATTCTCTAGGGAGCTATTTTATTATTTCCCTCTATGCAGAGCCAAGGATGAGACAGTGAGTGTACTTACCATTTCCATTCTGCCTGGTAGTGTTTTTACCCTAATACATCCCCTCAGATCTGATCTCTACCCTATCCCCTGCAGTTGATCTCTCTTCCCAGCGTCCTGTTTAAATGCCTGCATTAGTGCTGGCTTATCTCTCTGGCTTTGAGCTTCCTTGGCTTTTCTGCCCTTTAATGATTTTCCTTCAAAGGCAGCTTACATTTAATGGATTATTATTATTTTTTTAAATGATATCCACAGTTTTCAGGTTTTTCTAGATATCTATTTTGGAGTATTGTCAGAAGCTGAGCTCCAGTGCTCTATTTATGCAGGCATTATCATCTTTCACACCCAACATTACTGATGGATACCCAAAGGCCAAGGATACCCACAGGTTACCCAATTGGGCACACTCTGTGCTAGGGGTAAGGATTCCTTTACACATAAAAATGCGTAAGACGTGCCTCGCTTGGTCACTTTGACAGGATGGGGAAGTGATTTTAAAAAGAAAAAATATCTGTTTGAAACTCTAGATTTCTCTTTAAGGAATTTTTTAATGACAGTGTTTTCGAGTGGTGATGATAAAAAGGCTCAACATAATTTTTAAATTCTTTTTAGGGTATGTCTCTCACTCTGTATTTCACTAATTTTCCAGTACTGTTAAGACTGCCATTTTATTGAAGGAGGATATGAAAATAGGTAGTATAATGTTCCTGAAAACACAATCCACTCTTTTTGGTATATAGAATGTATGAGGTGGATTTTATATTGAGACCGTGTGAATTATAGTTTTAGTTCTACATTGAAGCTGTTTGGAGTTTAATCAAGTTGATGTTGCTTGTTTTAAAACAGGCCCCAGGCATGGAAGAACTGATATGGGAACAGTACACTGTGACCCTACAGAAGGTGGGTGCTGCACATTTTGTCTATTGTGTTCTAAAGTTTACAGAACTTGGATCTTATTTATTTTTGCCCAAACACTGTCCACCACCACCCCTTTCAGGCAGATAATGTGTTATAGAGAATAGCTGTCAATAACTCACATTAACAAAGATTTGCATGCTATTATATTGTTTGGATAAGGTCTGTATAATGGGAGAAATTACACAGGTCATTTAGCGTATTGCTCCAACTCCAGACAGAGTGGGTTATGAAAAAAGAAATAAAGATGAGGAAGAATGGAAATATCCTGTACTGTTTAGGGACTTTGAGATAGCTCTACAACTTGTAGCTCCCTCAGTGAATTTTAAGTCCCAACTAAACTTTAAAACATTGGTTTAGCAGTCAGGAGACATGGGTTATAGTCCTTGTCCCACAGCTGATTATATTGAAAAGTATTGAGTCAGTCAGATTAAAAAAAAAAAAAAAAAACTACCCTTCCCCTTTCCCCACCATTTGAAAGTAGAAGTCATATGTACAAGAAAATGTATTTTACTTAGTTTTTAAAGTCATTTCATAGATGTGCCCCCTCTTGATTAAATGAGGTAACACAAACAGCTTCTAGCACGTCGAGTCCGGAATATAATCATTGCTTAATCAATGTTAGCTCCTTTCTTTTTCATTCTGACAGGAAAGTTTGAGGAAGGCATGATAGGCAGTAGCCCCACTTGCAATGTAGCCACCAGGAGTCTGTGAGTGATTTGTATACAGCTGAGCTGGACTAGAACTGCGCTTAGGGCCCTGGAGTCTCGTTCCATCAAGCTGCCTTGGCAACACTGCTGTGGTTCCTTTTTTCCCTGCACCCTGGCTGTGGTCTTGGTCCTGCTCTGAATCCCTCCAGTCTCCGTCCCTTCCTAGAGGGATTCTTACGCTCCTCAAGTGGAGTTTTCCTTTGACTCTCAGTACCACGAACTTTGAACTCTTCAATGAAGATTTAGTTCCTGAATAAATGTTTTACATTAATCCAGGTTGGACAGAAAACAGATCAGTGCTCAGGTGCTAAAACTTCTGGTGTAACATTGTTTCTTCAGTTAGTGGTTTCCCTCTTTAAGTCTTACTTTCAACTCTAGCCATTTTCTGGCTCTTTTCTGTGCCCTTGCAGCAGAGCATGCCACATACCCCTTGAGTCATGGACCCCAAATTGGAAAAGGTGAGAGACATTTTAGGCCTGGTAGAGGGGATGGAGTTACCTCTGTGTAAAAATAGGGCTGTTCAGTTCAAAGCCATGTGTTTAATGGACAGCCGCCCAGCTTGCTTTGTGTTGGATTGTTTACTATCAGTTGGCATAGTGGGCCCCACACGGGAACTTCACCATGGGAGGAAAGATTTCCTTTTATTCTGGGTACATTTTTACATAATTCAACCCTGATTTAGGGTTGTAGTCATATATACCATAATATCTGGATAAAACCTGGGAATTTTAGCTTTTTTAAACACTGATGTGAATTAGGATTATGTATTATCTGGGTTCATTGTTTTCTATTTCTAGACCAACCATAAATGTCATTAATCTGTATTTTCCATCTTGTGTGCACGTAGAAAAGAGTTTAATGCTTTGTTCCTATCAGTTCTCAAAACTGTTTATCTTCAGATTTTATTGTATTTTAAAAACCCTTTTTCCTCTTTTTCACCCTATATTAAAATGAAACCACCAGCCCACCTAACTTGGAAGTTAAAAGTATACTTTAAAAATCTGGTCTTAGCACAGATTTCGTTGTGACTGAAGAAGCTGTTGCAGCTCAGGCCAGGATAGGAGAGCTGCTATGACTGGTGGTTGTGATAACCCTCTTTGGACAGAAGTTGTTACTTCCCATCCTCTGCCAGCTTCTAGTGATAGCTCCAGTCTGAGTGATCGGTCTTTCCAGCTCTTACAAGGCTGTTTCTTATACATAAGAGATATCCCTTAATAAACTCGTTGGCCAGCCATGACAGTGCTTTCTTTTGTTCCTCATTTGTTTCTGTAAGTCCTCAGTTCCAGAGCTGTCTCTGGTTATTGATTTGACCTTTATTTTATCCAGTGCTTATTAATAAATCCTGAAAGCCACTTACGGAAGGATTAATAAAATCTTGTTTTCTCTTAACTCCAACAGGATTCCAAAAGAGGATTTGGAATTGCGGTGTCTGGAGGCAGGGACAACCCCCATTTTGAAAATGGAGAAACATCAATTGTCATTTCTGACGTGCTCCCGGGTGGACCCGCTGATGGGCTGCTTCAGTGAGTGTTCCCAGTCCTCCAGCCCCACTGGTTGGTCTTAGGGTGCCTTGGGTGCTATATATGTTTTTAAGTTAAAAAACTTTAATGTGTACACATTGAAAAGTCTTTAAGAGGGAATTGAGACCACAATACGCTGTGCTTTAACAATCCCCAAACCTTTGAGAATATCCAAACTTTGGAGGTAAGAGGGCAGTTGTTTCCATAGGAAAATAGTTGTTACTATTAGAGCTATTATGCCTGGGCTTAGGAATCATTTCTGAACATGGAGTATAAAATTGGCATGCTTCAACTGAACCCTGCCCCCATACTAATCCAACACTTTATATTTACTTTAACTAATGTTCATTAAGAATTTAATGAGGATAGTCTGCCTTACTACTTCTATGAGTCATAAGAGGGATGTGGAAAGTGGGAAAATTTACTATATGAAAACTCAGGTTTTCTAACTGCCAGCCTTCTGGTGTGGAGAGACTGTGCCATCTACATACCCAAGTCTCCCCTTAGATAATTTCTCAGGGCAGAATCTAAAATTAAATATATGACTGCCTTGGCCAAATAGGCTCAAAAGTTTAGATTCTCTTGTTATTTCAAGTCTTTATGGTCCTATCAGAGTTGGTGGTGTTTCATACTGAGAGCAATGTAAAATTTTAAAATAACTTTGAGGTGATATGAAATAAGAGTTAGGGTTTTATGACCTCTCCATTTCTTTAAGAGTCTGAGGTAAACTCTTGACCTCTTCTCCTCCAAAAAGCACAAGTGGTTGTAAACCTGCTTTGAGGTATTTATAGATTTCCTGAAACCCACCATGTACCTCAGATAAGGGGGGCTTGATGTAGAAGTTCCTTTTGGACCCGGACCTCACCACTGTCAAGTGTCTCCTGGAGGACCCTGTGGTTTGGGTCCTTCTCCCAAGCTGGTTTCCAGTGGACACCATCAAAAGTGGGCTGAATGGCTCCTGGGTTCCTTCCTTAGAAGAGCTCAGAACCTTGTTGACTGATTAAGCCTCAGGAGCCATCAGACCTTGAGCCCTCTAAATCAGTGTTTTGAGTCATTTTGCCATTTCTGTTTATTCTGAATAATTTACAGTGAACATATGGGAATTTTTCATGTTCCTTTTTTATTTTTTGTTTGCAGGGAAAATGACAGGGTGGTCATGGTTAACGGCACCCCCATGGAGGATGAGTGCTCCCGGGTGGACCCGCTGATGGGCTGCTTCAGTGAGTGTTCCCAGTCCTCCAGCCCCACTGGTTGGTCTTAGGGTGCCTTGGGTGCTATATATGTTTTTAAGTTAAAAAACTTTAATGTGTACACATTGAAAAGTCTTTAAGAGGGAATTGAGACCACAATACGCTGTGCTTTAACAATCCCCAAACCTTTGAGAATATCCAAACTTTGGAGGTAAGAGGGCAGTTGTTTCCATAGGAAAATAGTTGTTACTATTAGAGCTATTATGCCTGGGCTTAGGAATCATTTCTGAACATGGAGTATAAAATTGGCATGCTTCAACTGAACCCTGCCCCCATACTAATCCAACACTTTATATTTACTTTAACTAATGTTCATTAAGAATTTAATGAGGATAGTCTGCCTTACTACTTCTATGAGTCATAAGAGGGATGTGGAAAGTGGGAAAATTTACTATATGAAAACTCAGGTTTTCTAACTGCCAGCCTTCTGGTGTGGAGAGACTGTGCCATCTACATACCCAAGTCTCCCCTTAGATAATTTCTCAGGGCAGAATCTAAAATTAAATATATGACTGCCTTGGCCAAATAGGCTCAAAAGTTTAGATTCTCTTGTTATTTCAAGTCTTTATGGTCCTATCAGAGTTGGTGGTGTTTCATACTGAGAGCAATGTAAAATTTTAAAATAACTTTGAGGTGATATGAAATAAGAGTTAGGGTTTTATGACCTCTCCATTTCTTTAAGAGTCTGAGGTAAACTCTTGACCTCTTCTCCTCCAAAAAGCACAAGTGGTTGTAAACCTGCTTTGAGGTATTTATAGATTTCCTGAAACCCACCATGTACCTCAGATAAGGGGGGCTTGATGTAGAAGTTCCTTTTGGACCCGGACCTCACCACTGTCAAGTGTCTCCTGGAGGACCCTGTGGTTTGGGTCCTTCTCCCAAGCTGGTTTCCAGTGGACACCATCAAAAGTGGGCTGAATGGCTCCTGGGTTCCTTCCTTAGAAGAGCTCAGAACCTTGTTGACTGATTAAGCCTCAGGAGCCATCAGACCCTGAGCCCTCTAAATCAGTGTTTTGAGTCATTTTGCCATTTCTGTTTATTCTGAATAATTTACAGTGAACATATGGGAATTTTTCATGTTCCTTTTTTATTTTTTGTTTGCAGGGAAAATGACAGGGTGGTCATGGTTAACGGCACCCCCATGGAGGATGTGCTCCATTCATTTGCTGTTCAGCAGCTGAGAAAAAGTGGAAAGATTGCTGCCATTGTAAGTTCTGGGTTTGTTGTCAGCTTGTCTCAACAATTTGCTGAAGAAAATTACCTCTCACTTTTAAGTGCTTAACAGAATTACATAATCTAGGGGCCGCTGCCTCTTGTATCCTGGGTAGTTTTGGAGCGTGATGTTATGGATGATGTAAAGGTGTGAGTGATCTCTCCCTTTCTTTTCTTCATTCTCCTGACTTCTTAAGACCCAATGATTCTCTGGAGTGAGTTTGCCCTAAGAGCCAGATGAAACATTTTAACTAGATTGAGAACACTGGCAAAACAGTATTAATTCAGAAAAGAAATTTCATCTTTTCTGTAAAGCTCCAAACAAGATTTGTTATGGCTTAATAAATTAGTTTCATAGAAGATTCCATTCCCCAATATGCTTGTTTTGATGATAGGTGGTCAAGAGGCCCCGGAAGGTCCAGCTGGCCCCACCCCAGGGCAGCCCTCCAGATGAGGGTGACCGGGCTTTCAACGTGATGGATGAGTTTGATGGCAGAAGTGCCCGCAGCGGGTACAGTGAGAGGAGCCGGCACAGCGGCCATGGGGGCCACAGCCACAGCTGGGAGGACAGCCCCGAGAGGGGGCGGCCCCATGACCGGGCTTGGAGTCGGGAGCGGGACCCGGGCCGCGGCCGGAGCCTGGAGCGGGGCCTGGACCATGACGACTATGGGCGAGCCCGCGAGCGCAGCCGTGGCCGGAGCCTAGAGCGGGGCCTGGACCATGACAACTACGGGCGAGCCCGTGAGCGCAGCCGTGGCGGGAGCCTGGAGCGGGACCTGGGCCACGATGACTACGGGCGAGCCTGCGAGCGCAGCCGCGGTCCGAGCATTGACCGGGCCTACAGCCCGGAGGTGGAGTATAGCCGCAGGGCCCAGCCCACCAACCAGTACGAGGTGTCCCGGAGCCGCAGCCGTGAGCACCTCCAGTCCCGCAGCCCCAGCCCCGAGCTGAGGGGGCGAACAGACCAACCAGACTTGGATAGGCCCATTGGGGTCCTTCTGATGAAAAGCAAAGCAAATGAAGGTAGGCATGCTTGATGAGAAAAGGCACTATGATATTAATAGCTAACTCACACGTGGCACTTACTGTGTGCCATATACTGACCTAAATGTTCAACTCATTCTCAAAACCATCTCATGTGGAAATTACTCATATCTTCATTTTATGGACAAGGAAACAGGCAAGGAGAGCTCAGTGGCACAAAGTTGTGTTGTCAGTGGTAGAGTCAGGCTACAGAAATTTGGCTTTAAAACTCCTAGGCCAGTGGTTCTCAGAAGTATCACCTGGACACTTGTTAGAGATGCAGGTCCATGTCCTACCCCACTGAATCAGAAGCTCTGGGATGGGCTCCTATGAAAGGGAAAGAGGGGATAGATTAAAGAAAAGAGGGGATGCGAACTCAACAGTCCAGGCAGGTTTATTGCTGAACCTGAGAGGACCCCTCTGTCCTGGCCAGCAGAACAAAGGAAAAAGGGGTCTCTAACAGGTCAATAGGCTTTTATGGCCAGGGCTTCGGCGGGCTCTTTGAGGGGAGGGGTCAGGGGAAAGGTGGGCTTGTGGCTTGTTGACGTGTCCTCTGGAGAATGCTTGTAGCCTAGGTAAGATGACACCTAGGTCTCTCTGTGATGGTGGGTGGGCTTATTCAGAAGGCGGTACTCAGGTCAGGATTCTATCACTCTTACTTAATCCTCGCCAGAATGCCGGGTGCTAGGTGGAGACTTCATTGCTGTTTTATAAGTGAGAATACCAAGGTGTAGGGAGGGTCCTGGCATGCCCACTGATAAGGCAGGCTCTGGCTCCAGATACCCATCCCACAGTGCATGCCTAGAGTGCTATATACACTTAATCACATCCAGACTTCCCTGAAGCCCTGTGTGGCAGTTAGAGAAGCCAGTAGTGGCACTCATAGTTTAGGTGAGAGTTCTCAAACTCAGAGGGGAAGCAACTTCTCTACATCTTGAAGCCAGTAAGTAAATGGTGGCGCTGGAACCTGTTTCCTAGAAATAGATGATAGGGAACAAGCAGGGAAACGAACAGGGCTTTAGAGCCAGGTATTTTGGGGATTGATTCTTGGCCTCTGACTTTTTAAATTCCTTTTTTCTCTTTTGTTCTCTAATTGTTCTCCTTCCAAGAGGAAAAAGGTTGGATGAAGAGCATACTGAGAACGCTAAGAAGACTGCCTTCTAGGTTGGGAATTTGCATTTCAGATGGGAGGGCTTAGTTTCTTTAGTTCTTCTAGAGAAGCCTGAAGAGATACTGTAAGTCTGGGGAGAGGAAATCCTGGGGCAAAATACCTCTAAAAACCAAAATTAGTCAAAGGGAGAAATAAAGTTTAAAACCTGTTTATTGCTTACAAACTGCAGTCCAGGACCATCTCTCTCTTCTGCTCCTGAAGAAGCAAGTAAGCAAGCCAGCCAGCCAGCCCCTCCTTTTAAACTCTCAGGTTCAGACACGCCCTCTGTTGCCCAGGTAATTATCTATTGAGATGGAGATGAACTTCTCTCCACCCCTGAGGATATGCAAATGAACTAAAGCCAGGCGAGATACTCAGGAAATGTTACAATTTTACCCACAGGTACATAACTGGGTGCCTGTTGAAATACCTGAAGAACAACACAAGGTCGTGAGTAATGGAGCACCTGGAGTCCAGTTCCAGAAAATAGGGGTGTAGGTTAAAAATTGCATTCTGAGGAATGTACATCTTAAGAGGCTTAAGGATTCTATAGAATCTTTATACTTATTGATAATGATTTTAATTCATTGACTGCCAAGAGTTGCAGAGTACAAGCCTTTTGCTCCAGGTGAACAGATAGACTGTAGAGAAGTTTTGAGAAAGGTGACCTAGCATGAGACCTCCTGCAGAGAAGCTGATGCTTGCATCCCAGGTTCTCAAGTTCCTTAAGGCAGTGCTTTTTGCACTTTTCCTCTCTCCCTCCTCCCCTTTCTTGTCTTCCTCCCTCGCCTGCCCCCTCATCCTCCTCCTACAGAAAACTACATCCTGTGAACAGTCATGGATGCACCTGCATATCAAAAACTTGAATGAATGTTTCATGAAATAGTACTTCCATGTGATGCACTCTAAGAGGTTTCATTACATTACATTTTTAAATGCTGGTCACAGCTCACTATATTGATTTCAAGACTCAGTAATGGGTTGTGTCCCACAATTAAAAAAGAAAATTGTCAGTCCTAAGAGACTGCCCAAGTCATGCCTGGATTTATAATACTGTCAAGGGGAAAAAGGGCTTATTTCTCTTTGTTGAGACAGTATATTTGTCCTCCTGAGCCATTTTGTTCTTCAAACTTGGAGTCATTTAAAAAGTTTCACTTTTTTTTTT